TGACTCGATGGAGAGGACTCTTCTGCCTGCAGAGGACAGTCTTCTGCACACAGCTGTGGAGGAGGTGTGAGACAGGTGGGACTGTGCGAGAGACAAGACGTCCTACAAGGAGAAAGACGCATTATCAGACACATGTGGACCTTTGATACTTTGCAGATGATCTCATTATCCAATCCTGTCCACTTTATTTCTACAGCACAATTCACAGTTTTCAAAGTGCTGCACAAATACATACTAATAACATTTTTTATACTTTTTTTTTTCCTTCACATTGAACACTGCATTACAAACTGGTCACTGACAAGCATGACAACTCTAAAAGCACTAGAATCACTTCTTTTTAAATAAAACTTTAGAAATATTTGACAGGAAACCTTCATCTTTTCATCATTGTCTCATGCTTCAGAAATATAATATCTTACGTTTTGGAAATTTTAGAAAATGTAAACTTGCTTGGTATATAAGGTGTTAAATTGACTCGCTTCAACACCTCTGGGTGAGTTCTTTATGTCCAAATCCAGCACTAGTGGTCGGGAAACAAGAGTGTCTATCAGAGGCGGCTGTGTAAGACTTTATAGACGCACAACATTCAGTCAGCAGGTGTGATCAGTCAAGAGTACAGAAAGCTAGAACAACATCCCAGCTGCAATAAGAACCTCCACCACATTCAGAACATTTAAAACCAATCTGAAGCGATGGCTAAAGAGAAACCAGATCTGTGACCACTAATGTTATGCTCCTATGTAAATGTCAGTGTTGTATATCATGATTGTGTCTTATTAGAGCTATTTGTGTTTTTAATGTTTTAAACTAACATAAAACTACTAACTAACATAAAAACATAAAAAAAATTAAAAAGTTTAATAAAACAATAAATGGTTTTGGTCAATTTCTGAGGATCTATTTCATGTTTCTACCATGTTTGTCCCATGAATTGTCATTGACAGTCCCTGACCTGCCAGGGACTACAGATGAAAAGTAGAATTTGGGCTAATTCTGGTGTATTTACAAGTATTAATGAATATGCATTGTCCCTTTCCTTTCGTTTAAAATAAATAAAACTTTAAAAAAAATAAAATTAAAATCAAACGCTAGCCTTAAATTAATACCACCAGTAAAATAGGAGCAAACCCTTAGAATAGCAGTAAATAAATAAAACCAACAAAATACATTCAAAATAAATAAAATAAATAAAAGACACAGAGGACCACACAACTCACGGTGTTAAAAGTCGGAGAATAAAAGTGGGTTTTAAGATGAGACTTAAAACTCTCCAGTGTCGGGGCTGTTCAGACGTGGGGGGGCAGAGCGCCTCAGAGTTTAGGGCTGAACCTGAAAACCTAAATCTGGATGAGGTCTGAGACATATTTTGATGATTATTGATTATTGTTTCTCTCTTACCACAAATTAAATTGAAATTAAAATGAATCAAACAATGCCTCTTAATATTATATCTGCAGTGACGCACTTTCACCACCAGGCACTGCTGTCGAGCACAAAATGAACCCAGACAAACCCTACACATGTGACTCGTGATCCTATAGGCGCAGAAACAGCAGATGTAAAAACTCGTATGTGGTTCTCAGCTTGTGTTCGTCTGAAACATGCAGTAGTGAGTTGTAATTTACGCAGCTCTAAACACATGATTAAAACAGACCAGCCGTGATTAACGTGTCCATCTCACTCAGGGTTTGGTCTGATTTATTGGCTGTGAACTCTTACTTAAAGCGCACTGCAAACTTGAGCGACACAGTAATGAAAACGAGAGAAAAACAAACTTCAGTCTCGTTATAAACCAAAAGTTAAATCTGCAAACGAATTAATTTAGTTATAATAATTAGCAAAATGTGTCTTGCCTCATTACAGATATATTGCAAAAGCGTCTCTTGAGGTCAAAATATGTCCGCTACGTGCCGTCTGCGTCTAATAAGAAAGTGTTCTATTGAATAATCAGGAAGTGCACATTCGCATGCCAGTTGTTGGTAGCTTTAACGTAACGGTGAAATTCCGCTCTGGTCTCTGAAAGTTGTGAGAAGCGACTGTGAACTCATTTCATTAACAATATGCTCAAATAGTAGGCTCAGAATCAGAAAGTGCACATTAGCATGCTAGTTGTTGTTAGCTTTAACATGCTCAGAATCCGAAAAGTGCAAATTGGCATGCTAGTTGTTAATTTTAGCGCAAAGGCAAAATTCTGCTCTGGTCTCTAAAAGTTGTGAGAAGCGTTTATGAACTCATTTCAGTGAATAATAAGTATGCTCGGGATCAGGAAGTGCACATTAGCATGCTAGTTGTCGTCGTTTCCTTTAGCGTCACGTCAAAATTCGGAAGTTTCTGAAGTTTTTGAATTCTGAAGTTGTGAGAAGCGGTTATAAACTAATATCGGTGAATAATAAGTATGCTCGGAATCAGGAAGAGCAAATTGACATGCTAGTTGTTAACTTTAGCACAACAGCAAAATTCCACTGAAAGATGTGAGAAGTGTTTATGAACTTATTTCAATAATAATAATTTGTATACTCGGAATCAGGAAGTGCACATTAGCATCCTAGTTGTTGTTTGCTTTAGCGTCACGTCAAAATTCTGAAGTTTCTGAATTCTGAAGTAGTTCTGAAGCAGTTATAAACTTATTTCCATGAATAATTAGTATGCTCAGAATCAGGAAGTGCAAATTAGCATGCTAGTTGTTAACTTTAGCGCAACAGCAAAATTCCACTCTGCACTCTGAAAGTTGTGAGACGTGTTTATGAACTCATTTCAATAATAATAATTTGTGTACTCAGAATCAGGAAGTGCACATTAGCATGCTAATTGTTGTTTGCTTTAGTGTCATGCAAAATTTTGAAGCTTCTGAATTCTGAAATTTTGAGAAGCGGTTTTAAACTCATTTTGGTAAACAATCGGCTTTGTTCACGCTGACCGAAAGACGAAACATGCGGATGACGACTTCTGGTGTAGGTACTGACACTGGGCATTTTCTTTTTTTTTTTTCTTTTCTTTTCTTTATGAAGTTAGACAAACTATAATACATAAATTAATTTGAAAAATTTATTAAAGGAAAAAAAGAAAAAGTACATGAATAACATCTAGATGAAGAAAACCGGGCCATTTTCTCTCAGTTTTTGTCTTCAGATTTTGTTACTATCACCAACAGAGCCCAAAGGACGTCGTGACCCACATGTTTCCAAACGTCTTCTTCCTCTTTTTGTGAAGTAAGCGTGACTAGAACCCATTAGTATGCTCATAATTTGTATTCTCTGAACCAGGAAGGGCACATTGGCATGCTAGTAGTTGTCAACTTACTGTGAGAAGCTTTATAAACTCATTTCGGTTTTGGGAAGTTTGGACCACTGAAAACTGTTTGACATGAACTAATTCTGTTTTTCACATTTTTAAGACAGTAAAAAAAAAAGGTACACAAAAAATATATATTTGCTATATCTTATTTAACTGAAGAGAGAGAAAAAAACAAAACAACTACACAAGGAGAAAACAAGACCGATAAACTAACGTCAAAACTGTACTTACTACTACTCATCTTGGGATATTAGTTTGAAATACTGTCTAAATCTGCATCATAAAACCTTTTTTTTCCACAAATAAACTAAAAACAAAAAGAATATGCAGCTATTTGTATTTGAGCAGAGAAAGGATCTGGTCATGTCCCTTTAAATCTTATATGGGTTATTGTAAAAATAGCACAGGCGCATTGTTACAACCCACATTCATTCATCTTCTTGCACGAGGTCGCAGGTGGCTGGAGCCCACATCAGCAGTTCCTCTTTGTTTATTAAATCTCACTGCTTAAAATAGTTGAAATTACAGTCTTTATGTAATTAAATATACAAACTGTTAATGATCGCGTACATTTCTAGACCACTTTTCTATCTCCATTCTGTAATTAAAGCCGCTTTCATACATCATCGAGAGCTGCGGGAATCAAAAACCCATGACCTTTGGGTAAGTAGGCAAACACTACAAACAGCTAGACGTCTCCTTTATCTATTTAAGTGTAAAGGAGATATAAAAGAGGGACTCAGGGATGCCAAGGTTGTTGAGTTCATCTGTTCATCGTGGTTTTACAGGTCATAATATAATCTTATAAACAAATAAAATGGTCACAGTTTGTAGAGCGCTTTTCCACCTTCAAGGCTCTCAAAGTACTTTACATAGATGAACCACTCACCCATTCAGTCTCATATTCATACACCAGTGTACGCAGACTATAGTCACTCAATCCTGTTTCTCCATAATTACCAAAACTAAAACTATCCTCTCCTGCACTGATCTTGAAAAACTCATCCACGCGCTCATCTTCTCCCGTCTAGACCACCAAGACTGAGTCGCAAGAGATTTTTGCTTTTTGGGTCGCCTTGTCGCAATCTAGTCAGGCTGGCACCACCTAGTGCCTCACTCAATTTCATTTCTCTCCGGCGACTAGGTCAGGAATCAAAATACAATAGATGGTTCGCAAAAACCCCGGACACCAGCCAATCAGCAAAGAGTAATTCATTCTGTGTTTACAACGATTCTCGAGATCGAGGATTTAAAGTCGGAACAAAGAGAATGTTTGCTGAATTTTATCAAGAGGAAAGAAGTTATAGGCGAGTTTCATTGTTGACAAAAGCGCGCGTTGCATGCTGGGAATTATTTTGCTCGGGAGCAATAAACACTAATTCAACATGACGGACGGAGCGAGAAAGCACGTAAAGGGTTTGATCCTGGTTATTTATCCACTCTAACGGCAGAGGATCAAAGACGATTTGACCAGAAATTGGTTATAAGCATCGATGAACGACAAATCACCCTTTTCAACCCCGACAAAGCCTGGACCAAACCAAATTTCTGGTCAGAATCTCCAACTACCTGGACAAATATTCACTTCGGCGATATCCACAATGACTTGGTGGAAACTCCTGGGCCATTCAAAGAAGAAAAGATGAAAACCTCCAAGAGTCTCGATGTGTCGTTGAACTTGTTGGAGTCCACGGTTTGTTACGATCTTCTACGTTTGCTCTGTGAATGTTTGAAAGCCATTTAACTTGCTGTTGGCAGTTTTATTTCACTCGGAATACGAAAAAGACATTTTCCTTCTTCCGTGCTTCTATTTGTGCATCCGATAATGCAGCAGGAATTTACCATTATCGTGGATAAATACGCGAGGTTACGCACTGTGTTTGACGCTATCCTGTTTCTTGCCTCCGACCAAAATATTTCCCAGCATGCAACGTGGGCTTTTAATAACAATGACGTCAGCTGAAACTCGCCTATTGTCTTTCTTACTAAAGGATTTGGGAAAAGCTTAATATAAACAGTTAGCCCTGTTAGCGGTGCATTACATATGTCACGACCAAATAGCAGCGATTGGTTAAATGATAATAGTACCCGCCTACTGTCGAGCGAACGAATTCTACCACTGCGAGGTCAGACGGTTTCTACAAAGTGAAACAAAGTGAAAATACCTCATGAATCAGGCTAGTCACGATCTGCATGTAGGCTTGAAATGTTAAGACATGTTTTGAATAATTTCTAACCTTTTTGAAATCATTTTATTGGCCATTTTCTTCCAATATTGCTGGTTCAATTCAAAGAAAAAGAAATGGGCTACATTTAATGTCCAAATAAACAACTTATGGATCCTTTTATTGCTGCTTCAATTACTGTTTTTCATTGTTTAAATTCTGAGTAAAACTAATTGTTCAGAGAGACACGATCACTCAGTCAACAATAAAATATCCTCATTCATGTTCAATAATGCTCAAATCCACCTTTGTTTTGTGATTTATGAATAATGTCTATTGACTTGGGTTGCAAAGGTTTGTGACTTTTAAAATATGGATCCCGGGAAAAAAGGTTTGGGAAACACTGGTCTAGACTCTGGCCTCGACTCCAAATCCATCTCCCGCCTCCAACTGGTTCAGAAGCAGATGACAAAAAAGCCGGTAGCAGCTGAAGTGTGTGTTTTCTTTCGGTCGACGTGAATACAATTGTGCGCCCCCTGTCCAATCTGAACCCTTCCCCACCCCCAGACGTTGAGTGGAATTAAATAAAGGCGATTTAACGTGTTTTCCATGTAAATCTCAATTTGGAAACTATTTTAATTCCAAACTATTTCATTCAGTTAATTCATAATAAAAAAAAAAAAAAAAAAAAAAAAAAAAAACATAATGTAAACATGGCCAGTATGGCATAAAAATGTATCACTCTCCATGGAGAATGTTCTGGAGTATGACTCCTGAACTCCAAAGAATCATGCAGACATGCCATGCAAATCCAAATCCAAATCCACTTCATTTCTATGGCACATTTTACAAACAAAGCAGTTTCCAAAGTGCTGCACAGACATCATAAAACGAAGACAACAAAAACGTAAATTGCTAAAATCTGGTCATACAAGTCCTAAAACAATAAAACCAGTAAAATCAAATAATAGCAAAATCATAAAAATCATAAAACAGCAAGAAATAAGTAAAATAAATAAGACACAGAGGACCACACAAATCAGACAGAGAATAAAAGTCTCCAGAAATCATTATCATTGAAATGTATCTTTAACTACTTTAAAAAGGTCAATAGAAATGAAACTGCTTTTTTAGCTGTTTATGCCACACTTTGATTTAATAAAGCTGGTCACTAAAAGATTATGATTTATATGTCTAACTATATATACTGTATGTAGGTAAAGCCATGATGTTTCTCCTCATAATCTAAATCCAAATCCACTTTATTTATATAGCCCATTTTACAAACAAAGCAGCTTCCAAAGTGCTGCACAGAGATCATAAAACAAAGACAAAAAAAAAACGTAAATTGCTCAAATTTGGTCATACCAGTCCTAAAACAATACACAGGAACACACAACTCACACAGTGTTAAAAGCCAGAGAATAAAAGTCTCTATAAAGTTTCACGGTGTAATGGTGTTTGTCATTGATAAGATAAGATAAGATAATCCTTTATTGTCTCCCATGGGAGAAATTTGTCTTGGGACAGGGGGTAACATGTTTTATCAAAAAACAGGACAACACAACACAAAGCAGCACATAAACAAACACCATAAAACAAAGTAAATATGAGACCAGTATGACCACGAGTGATGCACCAACACGACCCTTAAATTATCCTTAACAGGCAAACCCTTGCATTCTTCTGTTCTATTAATTATTGCACATTCCCTAAGCATATGTGCAGTTTTAGTTATAATTATTGCACATTCCCTAAGCCTATGTGCAGTTTTAGTTATAATTATTGCACATTCCCTAAGCCTATGTGCAGTTTTGATTGCACATTCCCTAAGCCTATGTGCAGTTTTAGTTATAATTATTGCACATTCCCTAAGCCTATGTGCAGTTTTAGTTATAATTATTGCACATTCCCTTAGCCTATGTGCAGATTTAATTATTGCACATTCCTTAAGCCTATGTGTAGCTTTAATGGCACATTCCCTACACCTATGTGCAGTTTTGATTGCACAATCCCTAAGCCTTTTATAATTATTTTTTAACTGCATTATCTGAGTTTAGCAGTTTAACAGCTAGTGGCACAAAAGAACTGTATCTTTAACTACTTTAAAAACGTCAATGGAAACTGAGATTTTTGGCTGCTTATGTCATATACGCTTTGGTTTAATAAAGATGGTCACTAAAGGATTGTGATGTAAAGACTTGATGTTTCTCCTCATAATCACTGCAACAACAACATTTAATATTGTGCATTTTGTTGCCTAATTCTCTGACTCCCGCAGCCCAGCCTTAGTCCTGCTGTTTATCCCCTTGGCAGTACCTTGAGGCTGGGTCTGTCCTCGGGCTGCTCCTGCTGCATCTGCTCCAGGAGAGACGAGAGCTCCTGCCCCAGATCTGCCTCCAGCTCGGGCTCGATCACAAAGCTCAGAGCAGCCGAGAGAGTGGAGCCCAGGGAGAAGACATGGCCCTGTGGAGAGAGACACAACACACGGGGACGATGTCAGAGGAGAGAGACGGCACAGGGACGTGATCCAGATTCAAATAAGCCGCTTTTCAAAGGAATTTATACACAACAAGGACCAAGGGATTTAATTGTTTTGCTGAGAAAGTTTCACCAGAATGCATTAATATTGTTGATCAGCACAAACATAAGAAGGTGACACCAGCAAACAACATGACGGAGCAGATCTGTAGAGCTCAAAGTATTATTAATATTATGAATTCAACTACATGGATTTTTTGCCTAAAACTTTGAAACACATACAGTACATTCTTACTACGTGTGGGTTCAGCTCTGACCTGTAACTTTACTTCTTGGCGTCCCTTGTTTGTCTCTAATTCCGGGTGTAAACTGTGCAATATTTCCAATCATTTCACTCAGCCCCAGCTCACACTGTACGACCAAATTGCAGGGTTTAAAAGTTCACAGCTCATGATTCATGTTCTCACACTGTATGAATGACTTCAACAGTGTGAAACCCTTACGAGAGGAGACTGGATTTCAGACAGGTTTGATATTCTTGTGACCTAGAATTGCCGATCGGGAGCTGGTCGTGAGGTATTAATCAGTTCTCGTTACCCCATGCTTCCTGCGTGAAGCACAACACATGATTAAGCCAAAGCTCGGCCCGATCATTCGTCGCACAACTGAAAAATCGTCTCAAAAAGGGCCAAAAATCGCACAGTGTACAGCCAGCTTAAGAAGATCGAAAAGGTTAATTCAAAGCAACAAGTGGATGGCATGGCACTTCAAAAGAAAAGTTACGTAGTCCTCCTTTAAAGAAGACATATTTTGCTCACGTCTGCTACATAGTGATTTAATTTATGACACTTGTGGATCATTATGTTGTAATTTGAACATTTTCATTTACAATATTCATCTAAAACAACTTAATAAAAGCAAAAAGTGCACTGATATTTATTGTGCTGCCCAATTTGAGCTGACGTCGACGTCGTGTAGCTGCAATGGACAGCTGCAGATCCCGTTAGCGAGGAGAAGATTTATTTATTTATTTTTTATATGTAACAAAACGGCTGCTCAACGTTGCCGAATAAGGTATTCCACCTCTGTCCCAGCTCCAGACCAACTAGTGGCTGCTCCAGGTACTGCAGCTCTTGGGAGTTTGGGCCCAGACAGAATTCTCCTGTAGAGCACAATGCATATTTGGGAATTCAAACTGGTCATGTTCGACTGACGGGGCATCCACAACTTTCACAAAGGTTTGATATTGCTGGGATTCTTTTCTATACTCACAACATAGACTGTTGAAAAATTCTGTAATCCTCAAAGTGCCTAAAAGTTTGCTTTGTAAGATTTTGCCAAGCCCCACTCTGACCCTGCTCTAACCCTGCTCTGGCTCCACTCTAGAAGATCTCGCTCTGATTGGTCCAAATGCTCCATGCCGTTCAGACGTCACATGGGTGGGAGGAGCTTGCCTGGACTGAGGAAGTAAATGCAGAAAAGAACGTTTTTTTGGCTACTGAAAACAATACGACACTATCTTGGGTTCACCTTCTAGATTTTATTATAGTTATATGTAATATGTTGTATCACCAATTAAGAAAATAAAGTTTGAGAAGAAAGTAAGTACAAAGCAGTGGGTGTGTATGCACTCCAAATTACTCCAAATACAACTACTCTACTCTAAATGGATAAATGAGAAGGAGAAACAACTATAAAACTAGAAAAGCACTCAGAGAGCGCAGACCTCCGCCAAGGACTACCCCCATTTTTTATATAAAGTCTTCTGGATCAGATCCAGATCAGCCTTTGGAATATGAAAGAGGATCCCATTGTCCATCCCTGAGTCAAATTTCATGGGGTTTGGTCAATAATTAACCGAGATATTGAGAAAAAAATTTTTTGGCCACATTTACCACAATGTTAACAAAAATTTCAAAGTCATCCAGAATCCAGGATTTCTTCCGGATCACCCCCAAAATGAAATCAGTTCTTCCTTTTCACATTTCCAACAAATCCTGAAAATTTCATAAAAATCGGTCCATAACTTTTTGAGTTATGTTGCTAACAGACAAACAAACAAACAAACAAACAAACAAACAGACAAACAAACAAACAGACAAACGCCGGCAAAAACATAACCTCCTTGGCGAAGGTAATGATTAAAACCTCTGAAAAGTCCATTTAGCAGACTAGGTCTGGTATAGGCGAGTTTCATTGTTGACAAAAGCGCGAGTTGCATGCTGGGAATTATTTTGGTCGGCGGCAATAATACTTAATACAACATGACGGACGGAGCGAGAAAGCACATAAAGGGTATTGATCCCGGTTATTTATCCACTCTAACGGCAGAGGACCCAAGACGATTCGACCAGAAATTGGTCATAAGCATCGATGGAGCCAAATCACCCTTTTCAACCCCGACAAAGTCTGGACCAAACCAAATTTCTGGTCGGAATCGCCAACTACCTGGACAAATATTCACTTTGGCGATATCCACAATGACTTGGTGGAAACTCCTGGGCCATTCACAGCAGAAAAGATGAAAATCTCCAAGAGTCTCGATGCGCTGTTGAACTTGTTGGAGTCCACGGTTTGTTAGGATCTTCTACGTTTGCTCTGCGGATGTTTGAAAGCCATTTAATTTGCCGTTGGCGGTTCCTTTCACTTCGGAATACGAAAAAGACATTTTCCTTCTTCCGTGCTTCTATTTGTGCATCCGATAATGCAGCAGGAATTTACCATTATCGGGGAGAAATACGTGCGAGGTTACGCACTGTGTTTGACGCTATCGTGTTTCTTGCCTCCGACCAAAATATTTCCCAGCATGCAACGCGGGCTTTTAATAACAATGACGTCAGCTGAAACTCACCTATAAACAACAGCACATAAACAATACTGATCGTTCACAGCGTCTGAAGCCAAAGCGATGAACAGCATCCTTTTGTTTTTTAAGCAAGCACGTGTTTTAAAAAATAAAACAAGTCTCCATACAATGTGCTTGGCAAGTTTACAGCAGTAGTAACACTTTCTTCACAATGTAGAAGGGCAGTTCATTCTGAAATCTCAAACCTTACAACCAAAACCGTCTAATTTTAAGCATTTTTGTGGACGTCAGGCAACACTGGCAGCCCACAGATTTAAATTTATCAGATCAAAGGACATATTTCTGTCACAGAGCGTAAAAATAAAACTGGAATGCGTTTTGTATTGGGGGTAGCAGCGTTCGTATGTTTCGCGGGGCTTTTGTTTTGCCGGGGCAGCGTTCACCCTTGTGATTATGGTCAGGGTTTTGGCCGAGGCGTATTCAAACCAGGTGCAGCTCAGTTGACACGACAGACACGGCTCTAATCTCCCATAAGTCAAGTGGAGTGTGGCTGTAATTATGTGGCAGAGGAGAGCTCCGTGGGTCACCGAAATAGACCGGTGCAGAGTGAAGTTGCTGTTTTGTTTTCGCTAGACTTGTCTCTCAAAAACCAGGAGGCATTATGGGAGTGCAGACAGTGAGAGAGCATACGAAAGCAGAAACTCGCAGGGGAGCAGAGAGTGAAACTGACCACAAAATGAATCAGTTATCAGGACGAGATGATTTTTTCGCAGTCCATCATAAATGTGTTGAAGTGTTACTTCTTGGTTAAAGGTATGTACAGGTCTGCCACCATAAAGATATACTGTATTTTTTGGACTATAAATCGCACTTTTTTCATGGTTTGGGTGTTTCCTGTGACTTATACTCCGGTGCCACTTATATATTAAAATTTTCACACTGACAATCGTGAGAGACTCTAGTCTTATGTGTCAGTATCTGCTGCTCCTGTTCCTCCTGTACCACTGTCACTTGGCTCTACTGCACATGTCTCCTGCAGAATGAGCCTCTGTCCTGTCTGTATCATGTCTGTTGATCGCACCATTACTTCTGCACCACTGAACATTAAACATTTAAACAAACGTAGAATGAGAAGACTGAACACAAATGCCCCCAAAAAGAAAATCATATTTTGCAGATTACAAGCTGCAAGTCTTGACATATGCAGAAGAAAACGGTATTTGAGCAGCAGAAAGAAAGTTTGGAGTGAGCCAGAAACTTCTGATGCTGGGATTGTGCACCATGCAACTTTCCTGGATGTCACTGAATGGATGGACAAAGCCTGGACTTCAGTGACACCAAAACCATCCTGTCAGGATTCAGAAAGTCCGGAATAATTCTATGTAGCTGTCGTCAGACTCAGCATCAGTTACAGTTAGAAAAGGAAGCAGAGCTCCGTTTACCTCCAGAGGTCGCGAAGTTGCTCAGAAGTGACACCGAGGATGAAGAATTCAGTGGATTTAGTGATTTGGAGTGAGATGAAGAGTTTTGTAAACTTGTTCTGTTCTGTTGTTTATGTTATAGTTTATCTGAAGAACTGTTCATATGTGACGTTAACAGTCTGTTGTTCTCTCTTCTATTGTCATTACTATAATTTGACTTTCAACATGAAATGTCAGTTCCTGGTCTCTGATTTTATCAAATAAATTTCCCCAAAAAGTGTGACTTATAGTCCAGTGCGACTTGTATGTTTATGTTTTTTTCTTCTTCATTACGCATTTTTTGACTGATGCGACTTATACCCTGGAGTGACACAGAGTCCAAAAAATACAATAATTTCTTTGCCTATGTTCCACAGTATTGCATTAAACATATGTATTTTGCATTTATTCAGTGCAACTTTAGTCCATGCATGAGGTAAAATTATAAAATACGTTTATTTTGTAATTCTAAATTGGCATAAAGGGTCTGTCAGAGTCAAAAGTGTCGTATGTGTCCTGGGAGCTGTACCGTGTCCAGGTCTGGTGTGTGTGTGATGAAGTCATTGCTCATGTTTATATGAGCCACTGCCTCCTCATGTCCACCGGAGCTGAGAGAAGGTGACAGACTGTTCCTCCACACATGAATTATGAATGAAACCTGTCCACTACGGCACACCACTCAACATTTTTATATCTATTTGCTGTTACATTACAAAAATACGTCAAATGAATGTGGCCGATTGATACTTTCGCAGTGACGTCACTCTTAGGGAGGTTCTATATGTATGTATAGGGAGGACTGTTCATCGGTTACCATGGTGACATAATACACACATTAGCAAATACTGCCAAAAAAGTTTCAAAATAGTCTGAAACTCAAGACAAAACTGATTTAAGCAACACATTTTCAGAAGCATGTGATCAGTACGAGAGTTCATGGTCCTGTTTTGGATAGGGTGACCACATTTTCAAAATCAGAAACTGGGACGCCCCCGGGTTGGTAAACAAGTGCGTAATTTTAAAAAATTGTTATGCACTCGGCCCATTCATGACTTATTCACGATAATATGTGAGTCAGTATAGTCATATTTTCTTTGTGTTTTCTGTAATTTGACCTAAACTAAAACCTAAAACAAATAAAACCTTGACAATAATGCCTCTCTTTACTCTTGGCAGGTGTCAAATTGGTCAAAAATAGGGACACCAGGGTCATTTCTTGGATAAAACTAGGGCAAGTCACTGGTTTTGTATAAATTTTCTGGGACAGGGGACACAGGGCTCCAAACTGGGACTGCCCCGGGTAAATAGGGACATCTGGTCGCCCTTCTGTATGGTCTGAACTATATTTAAACAAAGCTCACTTTAAAGTCTAACTTGGGTATCAGGGGTTCAGACAGAGAAGTGCCTACAGTTAGCGTTACACCCCCTGGGAAGGTTGATGACCTCAGCTGCAAAGTATCAGTAAAGTGCTATAGTGTCCAAGGATCGAGGAAACTGTACGACCTGTCAGTGGAAGTGTTCATCACATTTTGACTTTTGCTTTGAGCTCAGCAAAGTTTCAAAATTGACTCTCAGAATCAATTTCAACATTTTCTCAGGGTTTATATGAGTCCAAGCTGTTCTAGAGTCAATTTAACATTTTTGGAAAGGTTAATTAAGTAACACTGGACCAAAGTTCCTGTTTAACCCCGAAATCAAGAGTTATATTAACATTTTGAGAGTAAACGTATAACACTTTGTAGGGTTATCCTGATTCAGCTAAACAACACACAGAGGTGTTTTATTTTTACTCTTTATTTGAGTTAATTGAAGATGAAATTATGTACAAAACTGGTTCAAACTGGTCTTCTCTCATGGGAGTTTGAAGTGGTGAGTGGAAGGTGCCAAAATAACACTAAGAAAAGTTGAATTAACACTAGGGGAAGTTGAATTAACACTAAGGTAAGTTGAATTAACACTAAGGTAAGTTGAATTAACACTAAGGTAAGTTGAATTAACACAATTAACACTAAGGAAGTTGAATTAACACTAAAGAGAAGTTGAATTAACACTAAGAGAAGTTGAGAAGTTGAATTAACACTAAGAGAAGTTGAATTAACACTAAGAGAAGTTGTTGAAGTTGAATTAACACTAAGAGAAGCTGAATTAACACTAAGAGAAGTTGAATTAACACTAAAGGAAGTTGAATTAACACTGAAGGAAGTTGAATTAACACTAAAGGAAGTTGAATTAACACTAAGGGAAGTTGAATTAACACTAAGAGAAGATGAATTTACACTAAGGGAAGTTGAATTAACCCTAAGAGATGTTGCATTAACCTCAACCATATCAACTCTTCAACCTAATAATCCCAACTTGAACCCCCACTTAACTTTCAAATAGTTAAAATAACACTTTTTGTGTTAAAAACAACTCTGAAATATTTCACTCTCCAGTTTTTGCGGTGAGGTTGGTGCAGCAAATCATCAAAAACCTGAACTCACCTTCACCTAAAATAACAGCCTTGTTCTCAACAACACCACCTGGGCTCCATTTCTACAATACAATGAGATATGATTCCTCCTATAACTTTATTTATTTATTCAATGATTCATTCAATATTTCACCAGGTAAGTCAACTGAGAAAAACCTTCTCATTTGCAAAGAGCGCCAGACAGAGAGGCAGCATAAAACAGAAGCAGATTACACTAACAAATTAATCACAACATGAGTCAGTGAAACATTTGCACATTAAAGATATTAAATTGTTCAGAGTATGAGCACTGATCCTGTAAAATACTCTGAATTTGGGGTCCGCTGTCTATTCCGACATCCCTTCATTACAACACGTCTCTATTTAGATGTGCCGGTTCTCCAACTTTTTAGTATCGCTATTCCGACAGGTCATATGTGTGTTTTTGGGCTGCGAAAGTGTCATCTCATTGAGCTGGTTACAGTATTTATTTAGAGTATACAGTGTTCTCCGCAGGTCGCCTACTTAACGAAAAGGATGAAGCACAAAGGCCCTATGCAGCCTCCGTTTTAGATAAGATATTTTCCCGAAGACTGGCCTATGCTCTTTTTTAAAATGCATGACTGATATCCTCTGTGGACGAAGTATTCTCCGATCAAGTACTTTGCACTGGCCCAAGCGTCTTATGATATATGGGAAGGCAAAGTATAATAGGTTATCACATTAATATTATTCATGTAGAAAAAAACAGGAAAGTGCCACTACTGCGACAATGAAAAAAAAAAAAAAAAAAAAAAGTCCATGTAGTGGGACACTGGAGGAAAAATTATGTTTATGCCACTACTCCGACAATTAGATGTCAGTGTGTAAATAGCGGTATGTCGGAATAGCAACATGTAACCTTTGGATGCAATATTTGAAAGGAGACAGAAATAAAAACAAATTAAGTTTTAAAGGGCCCATATGACAGTATTTTCAGATCTATATTATTGCTCATCAGAAACATACCTGGAGTTCATTCACACATGTTCAACACACACATCCTAAATATTTAGGATAGGCTACGTTAGTTCTTCTCTTCAACAGAAAACACTCTGTTCCACCTTGTGATGTCATGTGGCAATACAGGAAGTGCTCCAATGTGTTTTTAAAGTCCATACACGTTCACTAGAATCATTTTGGATCATTTCAGCCCTGAAATTGCCCAACTCTGCTAAGTAGATGTTAGGGGTGTGCAAAAATATCAAAAGATCACTATAAAGTATTGTTTAATGTGATGATACAGTATCGATATCGTGCACTGCTTTATTGATATATCGCCAAGAGTATTTTTTGGTATATTTTACTAAATTATTTTGTTGGGGGGGAGTGGCAAAATAACAGGATTTAATTTATTTTATTTTATTATTTATTTGTTTATTATTATTTTATTTTAATTTAATGTTTAATTTTTAATTAATGTATTTATTTATTTATTTATTTGAGACAGGAACAGTGCACAGTTTTTACATTAATCTTAACAGGAGAGATGCATTGTACATCAGGTTGTAGCATCAGTGCTAATTTCCACCAGTCGTCCCTGAGCAGATTCATTGATTGATTGTATTTAACTGACCTTGGCCATCAACTCTTCTTCCTGGAGACCTGTAGCACGTTTTGGGTTGGGTTGGGTTGAACGGACACTAGAGGAAGTGGAATTAACTTCAACCATATCAACGCTGGCAAATAATCCCAACTCGAACTCCCATTTCACTCGCTGGTGCAGCAAATCATCAAATCCTGAACTCAACTCCACCTAAAATAACAGCCTAGTTCACAACAACAACACCTGGGTCCATTTCTGCAATACAATGAGACATGAATCCTGATGATTTTGACACTCGTTTATGCGACACATTTGATATTTTTACTATTTTGAGGATTAAAATGTTTGTGTTTCATGTGAACTTTGCGCAAGAAGTGGTTTAACAAAGACTTTTAGTATCACAGCCATGATTTAGCCTTTGTTTTTTATTGAAAAGTATCGAATCGAAGTGCACTGTATTGAGATATGTACTGTATCGGCAACTTCTAAATGATACCCAGTCCTAGTAGCTGTTACAGAGTCTCTTCGTACACTCCTAAACCAATATGCCCTATTTGTTTCCATCTAAAAATACGCTTGTACCGCAGTGTGAGGAGGTCTTATTCCGAGGCACGTCCCAGAAAGCCCTCACATTTTTCACTAAGGCAGAAACGTCATTATTCTACACTGGGAGAATCTGCTGAAGTGACAAAAATGGTTCAAACCCTTGGACTTGGCTGGGCTATTTTAAGCCAAGGAAGAACCACACACACACACACACACACAAACACACACACACAGTAGAAGCAGCAGGAGCCGTGTCCTCCACCAAAGTGCCCCCGACTTTGTACCGTCCCCTGAGGCAGAGATGAGAGCAGGAGGAGGAGGTGAAGGAGGGTCTGTGAGGAGGAGGAAGAGCACACATCAAGTCTCACCTCGAATGTGCTGCCAGTGCTGTCAAACTCTGGAGGGACGAAGCTGCCCTCTGGGTCATCTGCAACAAAAACACGCGGGATTAATACACGGATATTGTCGTTGTCATAGTGAAGTAATAACTCAATATATATAATGTCAAATCCACCTTCACACGACTCGCTTTGGTCCTTTCAGTGACACAGATTTACGACGGAGGGATGACATATTGCTGCTATAAAATATTGGATTGATACTTTGTAGGGACATTGCGCTGGGGGTTTTTAGTTTTAGAACACCCTAATTTTCCAGTTTTTTATTGCAATTCAAGTCGTGCAAGTCCAATGAAGAGCTTGAAATGGTACAAAAGTAAGAACGGAACAGACAGAGGTTAAAAAAAAAGGTAAAAGATTCAAAACACAAAGTCCAAGCTCTGCCAAAACTACCTCAGGTAAACTTGAAAACATGGAGTGTCCAGACTTAAACCCCATTGAGCTGGTTTGGGATGAACGGGACAGAAGAGTGAAGCAACCTACAAGTGCCACACATTTATCGGAACTTCTGCAACAGACTTGGGAAGAACTTTCTGAAGAATATTTGATTTCTGTTGTAAAAAGAACGAGCCACGAGTGTGTTCAGCTGTTAAATCTGCCAGAGGTGGACACTTTCATGAATGTTACGGCCTGTGATTGGTGGGGCAAGTCCACGCCCACTTCACCTGCAGCCACCTCCCCCTATTTAAGGAGATTGCCAGCACCTGTTTGGGGCTGCTGGCCTTGGTGGCCAGTCTGCCATTTTGGTTTTGTGTTTGTGTGTTAGTCTAGTTCTGTTTTGTGCCTTTTTTGATTTGGTCACTCGTTTCTGTTTGTGGGTTTATGTGGTTTAATTTGGGGAACTTGTGTTTTAGTTTAGTGTGTGTCCCTAAGTTTTACCACTCGTTTTTTTGTAAGCCTGCGTGACCCCTTTTCTGGCACAAAACTCTGTTTATTCTGTTGTTCTGTTTCTTAGTTTAGGTTGTTTTCTGTATATTTTTAGTGTTTTGTTAATTTACCTTTACATTCCTGTTAATTAAACATTACTTAATTTATTCCATTTTACATCTTGGTTTTATTCTTGTTACTTCCCTCACCCCAAACGAGCTGGGTCGTAACAATGAATCAAAAGTTTAGAATATGTTTTGGTCAACAGTAAACAGTAAAAAACTTGAAAAAGTGTGGTGTTCTAAAACTTATGATCGGTAGTGTACACTGTATAAAGAACTGGACTAAGTGAGCATGATGTCACCCATAGCGTTCAGCTGAACTTACAGGGGTGAATTTGGAGACAGGCTCTATATTATGAATAGAATTTTTTTGATGGAAAAAAACAGCAAGAAAAAAACCCACCAGGATCATGTAGAGTGGGTTAATACAGACATTTTAAGATCAAAATGACGTGGCTCAGAGCAGCAGTTACATAGAGCAGGGTGATACTATTCCAATGTAAGTCAATGGGAGCCAGAGTCAGAAGGAGCCAGAAGAGCCACATGCCAACTTCCTATTTGGAACATGACGGTTAACACATTAGCAATGTCCATTTATATATACAGTCTATGGATCAATACGAGCGTTTCAACAAAAAAAGGCGTGTGACGGGGCTGTGCAAAAATATCAAAATATCGATATTACGTGTCATTTAATGTGATGATACCGTATAGATATCGTGGGCTGCTGTATCGATATATCGTCAAGAGTGTTTTTTGTTATATTTTCCTAAATTATTTTGTTACAGCGCTACAGTTTTGCTGCTTGTTTAGTGGAAGGAAACTCGTTTATGCGACACATTTGACATATTCAATGTTTTGATGATTAAAATGTTTGCGTTTCATACGAACTTTGCACAAGAAGTGGTTTAACAAAGATGTTTAGTATCTGAATCGAATCGAGATATATTGTATTGTATCGTATCGAAACATAAGATCGTGTATCGAGATATGCATCGTATCGTGGCCTATGTATTGAGGCATGTATCATATTAGCAACTTCTGAATGATATCGAGCCCTAGTGAGATTATTTTAACACAATTTGTTCAAGTCAGCTCTTTATGGACAGATTGTGTTAAACTAAAGCTCAAATTAAAGTCTAACTTGAGAAATAGAGACAGAGTAGTGCTTTGTGTTAGCTTCACACTCCCGGGTAATGTTATGACATCAGCTGCAAGGTGTCAATAGTCATTTCTAGTCTTTAACATCTTTGCAGTATGGCATTAAACTTTCCATGGAGACAAGCAGATCATGCCAGTACTAGTCAGATCTGTGGAAAGGTGAGCCCGTGTTTTTCAACAACATCCCAGGAGACAAGAAAGAAAAAAAAAACATAGTGCAGGTTTTTTACCCATAAAACTTTGGAGAAACTGTTGGGGTCACAAATGTATCCACAGAGAAATATGTGTAACTCCAACCACCACCAATCAATACTCATGCACTTTTCTAATAAAACATGTCTTGCCTAAGGACACAGCAGCAATTTCTACTAGAGTTACTGCTGCTCCACTGATATTTCCAGCAGGTCTGACCACCAGGTAAATCATTTAGACGTTTTTGTACCTTTCGAAAAGTTTAGTAAATGGAGGAACTTTACACCTTTTCACCACATTTCCTTAGAAGTACAAAAAAGTACAAAAGGCTAGTAAGTTTAGGTGAGAGTGAAAAACCCATTGCAACAGGTTTCCATGGTGACGCAGACAGCCTTGGGAGCTGATGTGGAGAATGGTGAGTCACCAGAGCTTCAGATCAACAGGTTTTCACGGCTTTGTAAACACGATCTCCCCCGAACAAAAGTGGCACTGTCGGAAATGAAATACAGAACAATAAACGTCCTTTCAATCCGTCTCCTGGTGGGCAGTAACTCACTAAGACACTGAGGACTCACTGCTCACACTGCTGTGGGGCTCTGCACAAAAACATGAACTGGTTAAATCTCAGCTCCGACAAGTGCAAACTGTTTTTGTGTCAATGGGCAAAACACTTTAACAAACAACATACTTAATAATAATAATAATAGCAAAAAACACATGAATTATTACATACATACATGTTTTTATTGAATGGGTGAATAAAACAATAGGAAATATATGTTTAACGTTTTAAAAAAGAGGAAAAAGTAATGGTTACTACTTTTACTCAACTACTTTTGAAAGATATAAATAATATGCTTGACCAAACTGTTCTATATATACACACGTAGAAATAATCTAAGTAAGTTTTTATTTATTTTCACAAAGACACTTTACAGAGCATTATTCATTCACTCCATACTCAGTGGTGATAAACTACTATTGTAACCACAGCTGCACTGGGGCAGCCCTGACCGAAGTGCGGCTGCCAATCAGCGCCATCAGCCCTTCTGACCACCACCATCACTCACACTTCACTTTCATACTCGGCAATGTGGGTGAAGTGTCTTGCCTAAGGACACAACAACAGTTTTTGCGACTGGCGCCTCCCTGTGGCACCTGATTTTCCCAGCGGCCTCCCATCCAAGTACAAACCAGGCCCGACCTCTGAGCTTCTGTGATCTGACGGGATCAGGCTTTGACAAGTTACAGTTATGGACAATTTAAGTAAAAGATGAATAATGAATGTCTTTATCTCAAATTTAGCCTAATACTTAACAAAACTAAAAATAACATTGGTCATGTTTTTATACAGCGTTTTCCACCTTCAGTCAATCAAACTTTATTTATAAAGCGCTTTTCATACAAAAATGTAAAACAAGTGCTTTACAGTGATTAACTACTATTCCACATTTTCTTCCACCAACCCAACTCCTACAGCTGCCCGACTCCACACAACCAAACAACGCAGACACACACTCACACTTGGGTTATAACTTTTTGAACTTTTTTTCCAAAATCAAACTTCTGCATCATGACTGGATGAACTTTTTGGTATAATTGAAGAAACCAAACTCCATTTTCAACACTCTTTTAAACTAGAAAAGCACTCAGAGAGCGCAGACCTCCGCCAAGGACTACCCCCATTTTTTATATAAATTGCGATAAAATCAGTCTTCTGGATCAGATCCGGATCAGCCTTTGGAATATGAAAGAGGATCCCATTGTCCATCCCTGAGTCAAATTTCATGAGGTTTGGTCAATAATTAACCGAGATATTGAGAAACAAAATTTTTGGCCCCATTTACCACAATGTTAACTAAAATTTCAAAGTGATCCAGAATCCAGGATTTCTTCCGGATCACCCCCAAAATGAAATCAGTTCTTCCTTTTCACATTTCCAACAAATCCTGAAAATTTCATCAAAATCAGTCCATGACTTTTTGAGTTATGTTGCTAACAGACAAACAAACAAACAAACAAACAAACAGACAAACGCCGGCAAAAACATAACCTCCTTGGCCGAGGTAAAAAGGCCCCCCGAAACAAAAAAAATATTAAATACACATTACAGCCAATGATATGAAATGCGAAACCGTGCTAAGTTCTCACAAGGGCCATTACAAGTTAATTTGACTGAAAATGGATCAATAATAAGTTGTGCTGTCATTATAATATACTGGAGTTTCAGTTTCTATTCTTGCTTTGACTTTATAAGCCATTCGATTCATCGTTGCTCAACCAACACTGACAATCATCATTTTTTGACTTTTAGTGGCCTATTTCATATGATCTTTACCCTGATCATGTGTTTTGTTCCTGTGTTATTAAAAAGAAAATTGCCTTTGGTTATTTTATTGAACCGATATTAACCTTCTAACGGTATTATTCTGGTTGTTGATATTATTCTGGTTGTTGATATTATTCTGGTTGTTGATATTATTCTGGTTGTTGATATTATTCTGGTTGTTGATATTATTCTGGTTGTTGATATTATTCTGGTTGTTGGTCGACTTTACGAAAACTTCATTTTGACTCCGGGGGGACTTTTTTCAAAAACATGACCAATTGAAGGTCAATTCCTTTCATTACTAGCAAAAGTTCATCAAAATATGATACAGGGTACAGAGGTTGTAAAAAGTTATAACACTAATGAACACACACACAAACATGCTAAAATACATAAAACTACCTATAGTAAAATAGTA